TAAACAGCCAAATCTGATTCGACTGACATAACTTTGAGTCGTGTGCAGCCCCAAGTAGCAGATAGCATTGTTATAAAAAGACGTATAAGAGAAGTATGAATTGAAACCAGTGCAGCAGATTATCAACAGCAGTAAACCTGCAGGTGAGTGTTGGTGGAAAGTTAAAATCCAATGAACAGCTTCAGTGATACAAATATATACTGGCGTCATGTGATATCCTCATATTCATCAGCTGTATGTGGTAATGTGCAGAGAGTGAACTGAAGCTGCAGGTCTGTGTGTCTCTGAAACACTTCGATGTTTATAGACACTTGTAACAAGCTCAATCTGCTGCACACACACACACACACACACACACACACACACACACACACAGACTGATGCATGTCTGGAGTGCCAGGGGCGCACCTTGGCACTGACACAAATTTCATGTACACACTCACACACAGAAACACACACACACACTTTTCCTCCCAGTGTGTCAGGAGAGCTGATATTAGACGTAAGGATTTGGGGATTAAGTTGATATGATGGCATAACACTCCCACTGCACACACACAAAGATACATACACACACACACACACTCTGTGCGCGCACACACACACATACCTAACACACACACACACTGTACACACACAGACATATCTACAGAGAACACACACACAAAGAGATAAGAAGGCAGATGACCCACTTGGCACCTTCCAGTACCTTCGTCTGGAGGCATTCCCACCCGACGCACACACACACACACACACACACACACACACAAATACACACACACACACACACAGCGATTCAGGGATGAAAAGATGAATAAAGCTGGAGGCCTGCATGGTTCAAACTTATCCATCCCTCCTTCCTCCTGCCCTCTGTCGCCCCTGGCAACACACACACACACACACAAACACACAGCTGGTGGTGTGCCAACACCATATGGGCACCACAGCACAAATGGCACAAAGATGTGAGGTAATTTTAATAATAATCACAATAAAGTAATGCTAATGCTAATATGCTTATAAATGCTAATAATAACAATAATAACAATAATAATAATAATAATTAGAATAAACAGCTACAAACAGCTGTTCTTGGACATTACAATCAAAACAGCAATAAAATAATAAAATTCTCAGACTGAATCCTTTAATTCTAATTATTAGATCATGACGTAGAAACATCAGCTGATGTCAGATTTATTCGAGGGAATCATAAATAAAATGACTCAAAAACATCATTAATTTAGTGAAGATGAAATGAAGCGTCAGTTGGCAAACAGCCAGGTTGTGGCATCAAACATCAACATCCACGACCCAGAGACAGGAAGACAAACACAGAGAGGAGCTTTTAGTAATAAGGAAAGGTACAAATAAACAATACTAACAGGTACAGATACCTGTGCCAGTGCAAGTACACATGCAGCCGCCAGTCCAGGTGCAGGCACCAGTGCTGGTCCAGGTGTGGGTGTGGGTACTAGTGCCGGTGCAGTTGCAGGTACAGGTCGAGGTACAAGTACAGGTGCAGGTTCAGGTGCAGATACAGGTGCAGGTTCAGGTTCAGGTGCAGGTTCAGGTGCAGGTTCAGGTGCAGATACAGGTGCAGGTTCAGGTGCAGGTTCAGGTTCAGGTGCAGATACAGGTGCAGGTTCAGGTGCAGGTTCAGGTGCAGATACAGGTGCAGGTTCAGGTGCAGGTTCAGGTTCAGGTGCAGGTTCAGGTGCAGGTTCAGGTGCAGATACAGGTGCAGGTTCAGGTTCAGGTGCAGATACAGGTGCAGGTTCAGGTGCAGGTTCAAGTTCAGGTGCAGGTTCAGGTGCAGATACAGGTGCAGGTTCAGGTGTAGGTTCAGGTGCAGATGCAGGTGCAGGTTCAGGTACAGATATTTTCTAAATCAGTGTGTCTGATGTCCATCCAGAATAAACG